TAGATAGATAGATAGATAGATAGATAGATAGATAGATAGATAGATAGATAGATAGATAGATAGATAGATAAAATAGATGGAGATAGGAAAGGGAGAGTGAGGGAGGGAAAGAAGGAAAGCAAGGAAAAGATGGATAGATTAGATAGAATATAAAAATAAATCGTTGGCAATAGAGAAGGGAGGGAGGAACGAAAAGAAAGGAAGCAAGGAGATAGATAGACAGACAGATGAAAAAGGAGAATATAAAATATATAAATAGGTGGAGAGAGGGAAGAGAGAGAGGGAGTGTGGAACAAAAGGAAGGAAAGGAGGCAAGGAAAAGAGATACAGATAAACAGGAAGGAAGGAATAGATTGATGGGTACCCTTTCATCTTCTCCCCCTTGCCTTTTTGCTCTCTTGTCAAATTTCGTGGCCTCAATACCCGAGAACTGTATTTGGTCTAGTCAGTTTCCCGGAGCGAACTCCCAGCGTCGCTTTTCTTTGGTTTCTGGTTTAACAGCCGGGAATAAAACTGTTAGCGTCTTCTGATTCTGTAGAAGAAACATAAAAACAGGGAGGGATTTTTGGCAGGAGCAAGAGTGCCTGGCTAGGCGTTCGAGACCTGCATTTTGTGTTTGGGGAGGGATCGATGCCACATTTTTGTGATTTTTTTCCCCTCCCTCTTCCTAAAAACCACCTTCTCCTCCTCCTCCTTTGCCAGGGTCGAACGAGACGCAGCCTTCACACGACAGAAAGCCCAGCGTGCTTCTTTCAGAGCTCATTTGCGGGAGAAATACAACCTCCCAAAGGTGAGATTTATTTATTTATTTATTTGCTTTCTAAAAGGTACAAATTCGGGTACAAATTCCAGGTAGTCCTCGAATTACAACAGATACATACTCCTCGACTTAACAACCATTCGTTTTAGGGACCGAAACCAAAACGGGGCTGAGAACAGTGTTGTCTTTTTCGCACCTACAGCCGTTGCAGCCTTCCCCATGATACAAATGCGAAACGCTTGGCCACTCTCGTATTTACGACGGTCTCGGCGTCCCGTGGACGCACGCAGTCCCCTTTTGCGACCTTCTGACGAGTCCAGGCCATGGGAGATCCCGATTCGCTTAACAAGTGTGTGACTTGCTTCACAAATGCAATGATTCACTTAACGGTGGCAAGGAAGGACGCGAAATGGGGCAAAAACTCACTTAACAGCAGGCTCCATGGTGGTCGTAAGTTGAGGACTACCTCTAGCCCTAACCCACACCCCAGTCTGACTGTATTTACTTACGTCGAGATGCCTATGTTTAGTATTTATGCATTTACGTATCAATTAAATGCATGTATTTATTAAATTTGTATGCCCGTCTCCCACCAGATATTGCGAAGCACAACACAATGGTTTTTGTCTTCTAAACTTTTGTGTCATTCCACACTTGGAATAGTGCAGCCAGTTTTGGTCTCACCCCATTACAAAAAAATATGTTGAAACTTTCGGAATTCTGGATGATTGCTGACATTGTGGTTAATTGAAAATATGAATGTATATAATATAAACTAATGGGAATTCTTTGTTCCAATCTTCGCTTTTCATCCTTAGAGATAGGTGATACTGTAATACTTTAAAGACTCCTTGTTTCTTTGCTAGATAATTATGAATTCAAGGAAATAAGGATTGTTACAAATGAAAGGATATTAATGGCAATTTGAACACATAATGCTCAATGACAGCGAAATATCCAGTTATGTTTAATGTAAACCAGGGATGTTAATCCTAAACTGAAGAATTGATGCACCAAAACGTGTAACCAAACGACACGCTTGATGAAACGGAGGAAAGTTGTTCTTTTTTCTTCTCTTGCTTTGTTTTGTATGTGTTGTTTTGTTTAAAAAGAATAAAAATATATCTAAAAAAAATGTTGAAACTTTGGGAAAAGTGCAGAGAAGAGCAACTAAGGCACTTAAAGGCCATGAGACTAGGGGGGACGTGATAGCATTGTTCTAGAATTTGGGGGGCTGCCACAAAGAAGAAGGGGGTCAACTTATTCTCCAAAGCACCTGAAGGCCAGGCAAGAAGCAACTAGCCAAGGAGAGAAGCAATCTGGAATTGAGGAGAAGCTTCCTAACAGAACAACGAACCAGTGGAACAGCTCGCCACTAGAAGTTGTAGGTGCTTCATCACTGGAGGTTTTCAAGAAAAGACTGGACAGCCACCTATCTGAAATGGTATAGGTTCTCCTGCTGGAGCAGTGGACTGGACTAGAGGACCTCCAAGGCCCCTTACGACTGTTATTCTCTTATTCTGCTATNGTGCACCCACAATCGCTCGCGGGGCTGCATTCTGGACTAATTGGAGTCTTCGAACACTCTTCAAGGGCAGCCCATGTAGAGCGCATTACAATAATAATTGGTGAGTTCTAGTTCTGCCTTACGCATAAAAGCAATGGGGTGTCTTTGAATCCATCGCCAGGAGATGGCGAGTTCTAGTCCTATGTCAGGCAGGAAAACGGTATGGCTACGGGGCGGTTATAGCGGTGTGAAAAACGATCAATTTCTTTTTCCCTGCGCCGTTGTAACTCTGCACGATCAGTAAAGGAAGGGTTGTAAATCGAGGACTATCTCTAAAAGCAAAGTCGTGGTTACCTGCTTTCACTAATTTCTTTCGTTCTACAGGTGCAGGGGAGAATCTGGAGAACACGATGGCGGCATTTCGTCAGTGAGTATAAAGGCTGACCTTTTCACACACAGTCGATGTGCTTTTAGCACCGCGAGGGCGAGCCAATGGCAAGCGTGCCACAGGTGGCACTCAGAGCCCTCTCTGCAGGCACGCTAGCTCTGGCCCAGTGGTGGGATTCAGCCGGTTCGCACCACTCCGGGAGAACCGGTTGTTAAATTTCCGAGCAGTGTGCTGAACTGGTTATTGGAAGAAATCATTAGGGCAGAGAACCAGTTGTTAAATTACTTGGATCCCACTACTACTCTGGCCCATGTATGCGCGCCTCCCGTTGGCCAGCTGGTGTTGCGCATGCGCAGGGGGAGTGGGGCGCATGCAAGGGGGGGCACTCATATTGCATTTTGGGGCCGTGCGCAGCACCCCCGCCCCCCATTTTGTTTGGTGCCGGAGCCTTCAACAACTGACAACTAACTTCACAGCCGCAGTGATTCACTTAACAGCCATGGCGGAAAGAAAAAAGTTATAACATGAGCAAAGCCCATGTAACCGCTGTCTTGCTTAGCAATGGAAATTTTGGGCTCAATTGCAGTCATAAGCCGAGGACTACTAATCAGTAGGACAATTAATCAGTGGAACAACTTACTTCCAGAATGCAGGAAGGTGTTTTTTTTAAAAAAAATATTTTTATTATTTTTACACTTAAAACAATGCAGTACCGGGAAGTTGAAGTGACCACCATACATTTACATTATATACAGCTAGTCTTAACCATTAACTATTAGCCCACTTAATACATTGTCTATCCTTCTGTCCAATCACAATACATACAGTTTGTTCCAGTCTTGTCACCTTGTCTTATACCAATCACAAAATCTGTTCCAGACTTCAAAATATTCTGATTCCACTTTATTTTTAAGTTCAAGGGGGAGCCTATTTGCTATCCTATTCCTATTCTATATCCTACTCCTATTCTATTCTGTATTCTATTCTATTTTATTCTGTGTCCTATTCCTATTCTATTGTATTCTGTATTCTATTTCTATTCTATTCTGTATTCTATTCTATTCTATTCTATTCTATTCTATTCTGTATTCTATTCTATTCTCTATTCTATTCTATTCTCTATTCTATTCTATTTTGTTCTGTATCCTATTCCTATTCTATTCTATATCCTACTCCTATTCTATTCTATATCCTACTCCTATTCTATTCTGTATTCTATTCTATTTTATTCTGTGTCCTATTCCTATTCTATTGTATTCTGTATTCTATTTCTATTCTATTCTGTATTCTATTCTATTCTATTCTATTCTATTCTATTCTGTATTCTATTCTATTTTCTATTCTATTCTATTCTCTATTCTATTCTATTTTGTTCTGTATCCTATTCCTATTCTATTCTATATCCTACTCCTATTCTATTCTATATCCTACTCCTATTCTATTCTGTATTCTATTCTATTTTATTCTGTATTCTATTTCTATTCTATTCTCTATTCTATTCTATTCTATTCTGTATTCTATTCTATTTTCTATTCTATTCTATTCTCTATTCTATTCTATTTTGTTCTGTATCCTATTCCTATTCTATTCTATATCCTACTCCTATTGTATTCTGTATTCTATTCTATTTTATTCTGTGTCCTATTCTATTCTGTATTCTATTTTATTTTATTCTGTATTCTATTCCATTCCATTCTACTCTACTCTACTCTACTCTACTCTACTCTACTCCATCAGCTCTTCCTCCAGATAGAGATTTGTTTCTCCATGACCACAGTTGTATACCGTGTTTCCTTCCTTTGTTCCCAGTCCCCACTTCCGTGCCCTCCTAGGTGGTGAATGCAATTTTCATCCTGTTGTGGAAAGGTGTTTTCCTGTTTATGGCAAGAGCAAAGCAGCGTGCAAGTTGCAACTTGCCCAAGATCATTGATTTCAGAACATCATCTCCAAATAGAGCAGCTCAGGAGACAAGATCAATTTTGTTTCAGAGGCAAAACTGCTTTTTTCCCCCCCTCTTGGTGCGTCTGATCTCTTGGCTGGGTTTTCATGGTTCAGGAGTCCCTAATCACAATTTCCCCTTGGTTTTGTGCAGTTGTAATATTTTGCAAAAATAGGAGCGCTCTAGGGATAATCCCCAGATTTAAACTGGGAAAGCTGAACAGAAATACACTGTGTCCTTTAAGTAACTGCATCTTAAAGCTTTCTTGTTTAGGTGCTCTGTGTGTGTCTGTGTGTTGCTGATAGAACAATATTTGTAGCTCAAGACTGAACTGTGAGGTCCTTGGCGCTCTCTGAGCTTGGTTGTTTTCTTGCAGATGTTTCATGACCCAACTAGGTAACATCATCAGTGTTGGAAGGGAGTGGGTTGTGGTGTAAAAAAGCAGAAAGGGAGGAAGAAGAGAAAGAGGAATAAGAGAAAGGAGAGGAGAGGAGGAGGAGGGAGGAGGAGGACTGTGGGGTCCTTGGTGCTCTCTGAGCTTGGTTGTTTTCTTGCAGACATTTCATGACCCAACTAGGTAACATCATCAGTGCTAGAAGGGAGTGGAGAGGAAGGAGGAGGAGGACTGTGGGGTCCTTGGTGCTCTCTGAGCTTGGTTGTTTTCTTGCAGACATTTCATAACCCAACTAGGTAACATCATCAGTGCTAGAAGGGAGTGGAGAGGAAGGAGGAGGAGGACTATGGGGATCTTGGTGCTCCTAGGTGCGATATATATATCTCTCTCCATCCATCCCTCCCTCTCCCTCTCTCTCTCTCTCTCTC